CAGGCCTGGGACTCGGCTTCGTGGAGAATACTGTGTCCGTTATTATTGCGGCCTCGTTCCTGAAGCACAAATCCTTCTCCATGGGTTTTAAGATGGTGGTCGTACATTGTCCGTTCTCATTTTCCCCACCGTCGCATCTTACTTTAATCTCTCTTTACGGTATTCGGAGCACGCTCGCGCTATTGTGGAGCGTTGCTCATGCACGTCACAGCGCTGGTTGTTAACGCTACGGTGGCATCCGTTCACAGAACGGCCTTGTCTTCGCCGAAATAGTACTGGAAGCAAGGACCCGTGAAATCTGGGTCAATACGAGCTGTTAGACTCCACAAAGAATCATCAGATAACAATACGCGGATAATAACGCTAAAGAATATTAGTTACGGATCATGTCATCATTTCATAAAGGCAGCTGACCTGCCTCACAAAAAACTTGTTATTTCAGGCGCGTCAGTCACCGATCCCAGATTTCGATATAAACACATGCGCGCAAAATCAAGCATCTGCGATGCCGCACCGGCACCGCATCTACAGCATCCGAAGGTGGTAGCACCAATCTGTTAAGCAATCTTGCACCAGGAGAGCACCGGTTCTCCGAGGTCACAGGCACTGCGGATCTTGCGAGTGGTTGCTGATCATTACCCATCACCAGCGGTGAATGCGTCACAGGGGGGGGGGGGGGGGCAATACAGGAACTGCGCTGACAAGCAAGGTCGAAATGCCAGCCTCAATGGAAAGCGAAACACTGCGCCGCTCTAGCAGAACGCAACTGCTCCGTCTCTTCGGTGACCCTACGTTTTACATCCTCGCGTTCCAAAACACAGTGATGAGTTACTCATCATTTATGTTTCGATCGATAATAGTTGACTATGCGAGAGACAAGGGGGTGCATTGGCTAATGCCGAAATGATGGGAACATACTGCGCCGCCAGCGACCTGCTTCTAGGCCACATGGGCTTGCCCTTTCTGGCCGACCGCGGCTTTGTGAACCGAAGCTTGCTTGCGGCATTGACATTCGGCCTTCTGTCGGCGTCGATGTTTGCTTTAAGTTACTCGGAAGGATTTGTTCCTTTCGTCGGCATCTTCTCGTACAGTCCCTGCTGATCTCGGCAACCACTTCGTTCTCCCCTGTGCTGATCACCGACTATCTCGGCGCTTGTCGCGTCCCATAACTTGTGGTGTCTCTGGTCTCGTGACGGGGCCTCTACTCCTGGCAACGCCCCTCGATAAAGGTTGGTGCGTTTCTACGTTTTTTTTTCAATACAGGTTTACGTTGATCGGTTTCAAGTATTTCAATGCCATCATCATCATTATCAACCTGACTGCGCCACGCTGCAGACCTCTCATAGGTTCCGCTAATCCACCCGGTCTTGTGCTTTCCGCAGCCAAGTTATACGTCCCAAACTTGTTAATCTCATATTTCCCCCCTAAACTACTCTCCCTCGTAATTCAGTCGGTTACCCTTAATGACCAGCGGTTATCCGGCCTACGTGCTACGTGCCTGGCCCATGTTCATTCTTCTTCTTGATTCAACTGTGATTCTTCAACCCCGGTTTTTTTCCCTGACCCACTGTGCTCACTTCCTGTCTCTTAAGATTACACTCTCATTCACCCTTCCATCGCTCCCCTGCATTGTCATCAATTGAAGCTGGACCCTCCTTGTAAGCCTACCACTTTCTGCTCCGTAGGTAAACATTGATAAGATGCAGCTGTTATACCTTCCTCTTGACTGATATGCCGCTTGAGTCATTTCGTTGCAAATCTCGCGGCGCGTGAAAGCAGCAAAAATTGATATTAATTTGGAGTATTTCTGCTAATAAAAGACGATCAGGATCGATGAACCAGTAATCCGGCCACGGGACACAATATTGCGCGTTATTCGTGGAGTGATGGCTACATTTCAGCAATAGAGAAAGCGAAATCGCGGGTGAAAAGGAGGTAAAAATTTATTTAAACAAGAGATTCGGACGCTTACAAGCCATGCAGAGTCCCCCCGCTCGATCCCGCTGCGCTTTGCGTTCATGAGTTCACAATGTTCTAGGACGTGGGCGGCCCAGCCAGTGGCAATCTTCTCCTTGGCCAGGTCTGTCTAGCGCACTGCAAGAGTCCTCTGGGTATTCTATAGGAGAATGTTGGTAAGGGCAGCGTAGGTGCGGGTCCAATGATAGCAAGTTCGCTCCCGCGTAAACGCTGGCAAAAAATACAAGGGAAAGGGAGCGTGCGCTTCGGAAGGCGGTGCCGTAGATTTGATGAATGTTTCCCACGACGGGGTGAATCATTCATTGAACCTCTATGATCTCCACGTGACATTGATAGACGCAGAATATTTCGCTACCGCCTCTCCAACATTTTCTAAGCCAGGATTCGTACGGTCCGTTATTGAGTGCAGATCCGTTCCGACGCACAATAGCGTGCTGCGCGTGACGTGGACCTTCCAACGTGGCTTATTGGGCGGTCCCAGCCACATGATGCATGCTTGATACCACAGCTGCAGCTGCCTCTAAAATGACGTCATCGCTGGCTGCACGCGCAGACAAATGATGCACTGGGGAGGCGCACTGTGCGGAAGCATGCGTGTGCACCACTACTGTGCTGAAATTTATGCTCATTGGCCTGGACTTGCTGAACTAGCTGTGATCGGGAATTCGGCTTGCTTCAAATATTTCGAAAGCAAGTGTTTTTGGTGAAGTATCAAACACGAATATAAAAAGGCAAAACAACGCGTATATCAGTATAAAAGAGTTCCATGGAGAGGGCGACAGAAGCAATAAGCAGTTAGTCTAGATTTGCCCCGTTATTTTTTTCTTTTTTTCTAATTCATGTGCGTTTTGCTGGTTATTCAGGTTAAACCGGCTAAATATCTTGCTTCGTCAAGTATATTCTCTTTTTTCGTTCACATGGCATGTTGCTAAACTAATATGGTATGACATTATTGCATGGCGAACACGAGCGACAGACCCGAACATGAAAATCATGGCATGCGTGTCATGTAACAACATCACTACATGCCACGCTCATGATGCGCTCGCGGCCGTTTCGCTAGCTTCACATGTACCAAACTCGGTATTACGCTACGCCAATGGATGACGAAGAAATGTGACTGGTGCAAGCATGATAATCATGAGATGCGTGTCATGTGAGAACATGAGTACATGCCATAGTCAAGACTCCAATACATTTCAACGTGACGCGGTGCGCGTGCTCGCCGGCGTTCATTTCGTCGCATTACGGCAGCGTTGCCAACGCCAGGCGCCGGTCCTGCCATATACTCGCAGGCGCACGCCGCGCTGTGTTGCTTGACGCAATGCGCGTTTCAGTGCGTCTGGTGTTCTTCCGTCACAAAATTGACTGATTGATATGTGGGGTTTAACGTCCCAAAACCACTATATGATTATGAGATACGCCGTAGTGGAGGGCTCTGGAAATTTAGACCACCTGGGGTTCCTTGACGTGCACCCAAATCTGAGCACACGGGCCCTACAACATTTCCGCCTCCATCAGAAATGCAGCCGCCGCAGCCGGGATTCGAGCCCGCACCCTGCGGGTCAGCAGCCAGGTACCTTAGCCACTAGACCCCCGCGGTGGGGCTTCCGTCACTAAAAGAGGACACGCAGTGTTGTCTGGGTAATGCATCGGCGCGAAATGCAGCCTGTCGTATTTCGCGCCAGTTGCCGTCAGGCCGCGCCGACGGAAGCCGGTCGCGCCTGGCGTAAATTAAGCCCTGTCCGGCTTCTCCTCCTTAGTGGAACACCAATCACACACACAAACACACCACGCACAGGGCATCAGTCACTAATGCATGGTTCGCCGATAGTTATGCTCCTCTTCACGCATTGCTCTGAGAATAGGGGAAATAGGGTTCCTTCCGGAACAATTTGGCGGTTGGGTTGCTTCTTCCACCTTTCCCAGGAAGGGCAGCCAAGGAGTAGATACTTGAATCATGGAGACACGACCTGTGCGTTCGGTGTGCTCGCCCTCTTGCTAAACAAGCCGGCCCGGAGGAATTGCTTGTATACATTGGCTCACGGACCATCTTCTAATCCCTTTGCGCTCCCCGCCGCTGGACGCTGGTTCCGAGAGAACTGGGGTTGCCGGCATGGGCAGTGCTGCTCGGCTACGTTACGCAGCGACAGCATGGCGCCTACTGACGACGGTCATAACAGTATTAAAATAAGATAATACACTGAGAATCAGGTGCAAACGTGCATGAAAATAAAACTTTGGAGAGGACGGAATGAGGGTGAATGCCTCGTCAACGCGTTTGTGTGTAAGGGCCTCGAAACAATCACTTTCTCTAAGTTTAACTACCACAGCAGCGAAATCTATTCAGAAGTCGTCACATGAAGGACGACAGATCCCTACGGATGAACATCTCTGGATGAAGGGACTTTGCTCTCGGTGAAGTAACGGTAAATGCCTTTCGTTTTTTCCATTCTGGGACCTTATTCAGCGCATTATAATAACATATGGTAAAGGTTCATAACACTATTTTCACATGTGTTGAACAATGCCGGACATATGAGTGTGTTTATGTGTGTGGGCCTTATGAAGGCTGAGGAAGGAATTCATAGTGCAGTTCTTTATTTTTCACAGTTGTTTCTTTGTCTGACAGCATTTGCCGCTTTGCGTTCTGGATGTGCAACAAGCGCGTAGTTTGGAAGTTTAGACGAAGACGGAAGCTTGACGAGGCGGAAATTTTTGACCACGGGGGTTCTCTGAGCACGTACACGCGCTCGTTTTGGCGATTGTTTTTGAGGATCATTTGTAACAAGAATAGCTACAGCCACACCTCGTATTCAAACTTTCAACAGTATAGTTTGTTTGAATGCGAGCGTCGAAATTGTGAAGGACAGGAAGCATCGATATGTAATTTTTTTTCTTAGTAACACTTGTGTGCTCATCTTCGCGCAATTATATATTTCATAATTGTGTTGCAATGGCGATATACTTTGCCGTCACTTATCAAAATGTATTTTTTCATCTTCAATTGCGCGCGCCCCCAGCATGGTGCCCCCACTGACCGACAAGAGTCCTTGGCTTCCATTGTCGCAGGAGCTCAAGACTCGAGTGTTCAACGGCAATGGCACCGAGAATTTCACCAGCTATTTTGCCGAATGCAGAAAGTATAAAGTGTATATCTGAATAGTTTTTCACTAAAAACGTCAAAACAGTTGTTGTTTTGGAGTCTGATTCACTTTTCACTTGCATTTTAGAAGTACACGGTGTCCACCGGTGAGTATCATTGCGGTGTCTCAAAACGAGTTGACATAAAATCAGCAGCACTCAAATAGTTTTGAATATAAGTATGTCAACAATTTTGCAAGCAGAATCAAAAGGTAATGTAACCGTTTTTATATAGCCCCACATTTTACAGTATTTTATTTGAAACATTATATTCCAGAGCTTTGACAAAAGTCGATTCCAATGACATTTAGCCAACTGAAATAAACCGCAATTATGTAGGCACAAGCAAGCTTGTGTACAACTTAAAATAGAGCCTAAGAATGAATTTTCAACTGCAAGTTGAAGTACAATAACGGCTGCAGTGATCAAGGTAGAACTTCATCAACAGCTTTTTACATAAAACTAATATGTAAAATTCGTGGCTCAACTTTATGAATATTACGATAGTCGGTATACTTGTCGACCCAATTCATGACTCTATCGCTAAGGCAACAATAGACTCTAAGCAACTACACCATCATGGGATATAGAATATAGATATATAGTCGCGCAATATCATGGAAACCGTGCGTTCGAGAAACTCTGTTATTTAAACTATCGTTACTCTCTCTATTCCAACATTTCGGTTCAGCGATTAAGGGCAGGTGGCTCTGCTACTTGACATAGGTGTCTTCAAACATCGCCAGTCGTGGCGAGAAACGGCGCGGTAGGCGCTCCTGAAACCCAACCCAGCACTCACGCATACTGCTCTTCAGACACGCGGGATTCTGAGGTTCTATCAAGACTGTTTGTTGGCCTAGTTAGTACTCGGTCAGTGAAATATTTTAGCCGGAAACAACACAATAGCAGTGCCATCAGTCATTGTTTTTGTTTCACTCTATGGGTTATCTCGCGGCGAAAGTATGTTATTAAACATTCCAGGTGTTTGAACTCCATTATTTCTACTGACGCTCCTATACGTGCATGCGTCCTTCGTGATATGTGAGAAACAAAATATCCTAAATACTAATTAGCGTACTTGCAAAGCCGTCTTTTACAAAAGAGATCGCTTCCCACTTGGGGACATGACAAAATGGACATTCCGCTAGTTTGATGAAGCACTCATATTTCTCAAATCGCGCATACACGTGAATTGATAGGTGATAACAGTTAACCAATAAAGCCCCCGTGATATTCGAAGAGAAGCCCTTCACGAATGGGATGCGAACATTATAGAAAAAAGCAAGCACGAAGACTCGCATCGGTGACTCTGTCATCGGTAAACCAACATAAAAAGTCCACGGCGAGTGTCTATTAGTTAAAACAAGAAAAAGCACCAGCGTTCTTCTACCATATCAATCACGCAAAAAGTATGAAACTGCACACAAAGAAAATCGCACGAATAAGGTCAAGAAGACGTCGTTTGCAACCGCATTCAGCGATTCGGGCTATTTTTCGTTGGCTTATTGCATAAATGTAAATACCTGAACAATAGACAACCGTAAGTAGGAAAAGGTCATATTTGTTATATTAAGCGCACACAGAAAGGACCAATCCCGGCTGCGGCGGCTGCATTTCCGATGGAGACGGAATTGTTGTAGGCCCGTGTGCTCAGATTTGGGTGCACGTTAAAGAACCCCAGGTGGTCTAAATTTCCGGAGCACTACGGCGTCTCATAACCATATAGTGGTTTTGGGACGTTAAACCCCACATATCAATCAATCAACACAGAAAGGACCACATAATCCGTTTTCATTACGTCATTTTTCATGTGCTCAATCCTGCTTACTCGTTTGCGTGAAAGTACGCGACTCCTGAAAAAAAAATAGCACGTGCGACGCATTCAGTGCCCAGCTCGCCTGTGTTTGTGCGTATGAACGTCCGCCTCCCCTTGCGCACGTGTGATTGTGCATGTGTGCGTGCGCGCGTGTGGCTGTACAGTTGCCGCGCCGCTTCTGGCGTTTACGTAGTTCGCGGAAAACTGAGGAAAGAGACAGGTTCTGCTGCGCGGTCCTTTTTCCGCCGTCCACCGCTTGGATTGCCTACGTCTTCAGCCACCATATGTTCCCAATTGGTGGTCGAAGCTCCAGCATCGCAACGGGCAGTGCGGCATCCTTAGCGGCGAATACAATGGAGTGCACACGCGTCGAGCTATGGCTTGAAAAAAAAAAGTACTGAGAGGGAAACAGTGCGAAAAGCGGCGGGATGATGGCAAACGAGCTGGCGGTGGCGGCCGCGAGTTTCCTTCGAAGAAGCCGCGAAAGGGCAGCCATCGTTCCACCCCGCTTTGACTTTAGTTTGCATTTGTCAGCCTGCTTCACTGTCAATTCTGTTTCTTTTTTTTTAACCATTATGATTCGTAGTCATGCGCTGACCATGAGATCGGGGCGTAAACAGGCCCAGATTTGTGGCCTCCCAAGCAGCGAAAACGCCATCTGGGAAAATTCAAGGAAGAAGGGGATAGAAAACGAAGCACCCGCTAAAGACGGAAGAGCAATATGTCGGAGGACAAGCTTAAGGTCGAGTGATGACCCATAATGGAAGAGCGCAGACACTGGTCCCGAAGTAGCCGCCCACTTGTGACGGCGACAAAGAGGACATGGCGCCTAATCGACGACGCCAATCTGCGTGGAGGTGCGTGGCCCGTCTACTCGTGCCGCTGTCACGTCAATAAAGCTTACTAAAAACGCCGTCTCGGGAACTGTCGGGAACAATACTTTTTGTTAAAAGGTTTCGGCCAGAGTTCCCATTTTCTGGTATAATAAGAGTATCAGGGCATTCTTTTTTTTACCGACTTACTTGTACAATTTTCCAGTCGCTTGTCATGATTTTTTTTGTTTTCTTGCTTCATTCTGTTGTGTCGGCAAATATGGTTGATTTAGTAATCATCACGCTCACCAGTGCGCGTTAGTACTTTACTAATGCCTTGTTTGTCGATGACTCTGAGTGTTTGAGTGCATAGGCGTGTTTATTCTTCTCCATAAACTGGGGTGATAACTCCTTGCAACCCCCGCCCCCGTCTTACTAAATCAATGTATCGGGCAGATTTCAGGCCTTCCAATCTCCTTCTTCATACGCTCACTTACGATTGAGTTTTGAAGTTAAACATACGTTGGGGGAATCGACAAGTAACGCTGGCAAATGTGCCTCCTGCTGAAAGAAGACTGCCGCGAGAAGTGGTTTTGAAAGAGGAAAAAGGAAGAGAAAAACACAGTCCTGTTACTGCCTCTCTCAATCGAGGGAACCTCCACAGTTATGCGCAGGTAAGGGGGGAGTTGGAATTAAAGAGACAGAAGAGAAGAGGTAAGAGAAGGGTAGTGAAAAACAATCGCACTGCAGCACATAGCGTGCGTCTGAAACCTCTGGTATGATCCGCAACCATCAGTAAAAGCCGTCGGGAGGAGGAGGAGGAAAAAACCTTTATTGATGCTGGCTGTGCCAGATAGCCCTTATCCCCACCGGGCTGGTTGACATTCCTAGTCCGGGACGTCATTAGTCGAGGCCACCACCGGAGCCCGCTGGACTAGAGTTCGCTGTTCCTCTAGTGTGGAGCTATTGAGTAGGGTCGTCTCTAAGTCCTCTTTGGTGGGGTTGGGAAAGGGGGTTAATTTTGGCTTCAATTGGCAGGCCCAGACCATATGGTAACTGTTGGCCACTTCCCCACAGTACTGGCACTGCCCACTTATTTTTGAGTCGTAATTTTTGACTATGGCTGGACAGAGCAGCGTATTTGTCATAGGCGCCGCAGGACGCGCTCCTCCGTTTTCGAAAGTCCATTCGCTGGTGCGGGATACAAGCGGCGTTGCTCAATGTAGTATTCTTTGATTTCTCGAAACCGTGTTAAAGGTGTGGGACGTTCAGGTCTATCAGAGGACTGGGGAGTTTCCCGGGAAGTAAGCACGCGGGCCGCTGCTTGTGCAGCCTCGTTACCCTGTAGACCCTGATGTCCCGGAGTCCATATAAGACGTTTTAGGGTAGGATCGCGGTTCCTGGTGCTGAATTTTAAAAATTTATTAAGCAATGGAGAGATTTCTCCTGCAAGATAGCTCTCGCAGGCTCTTCGAGAGTCTGTAACTATTTGTTTTGAGTTTGGATGGGATACTGCCAGTGCAATGGCCACCTCCTCCGCCTTACTTGAGCTTGTGGCTTTGAAAGTATCCGTCCACCTGCGTTCTTTGATGTATAACCGCCGCCGTGTAGTATCCCTTAGGTGACGGCCCGGCCACATCGACGTAATAGACCCCATTACGGGAGCCAAGCCGTTGTTCAAGTGCCTCAGCGCGCGCTTGCCTACTACCCTGGTGCGCCTCCCTGGTCATATTGCGGGGAAGCGGGGACACCCAGAGTTTTGTTCTCCAAAGTTCAGTAATACGCTTCGCGTTTTCGAGTTCGCATTCGTGCTGGATCAAGAGGTGGTCCAGTAGGCGCCGCCCGGGGGGCATCTGCGTAAGACGCGTATATTGATTTGTGAGGTGGGCTTCTTGGAGCTCTAGTATACAGTTAAAGACTCCCAATGCAGAGAGTTTCTGATTTGAAGTTCTGATAGGTAAATTAAGTGCGCGCTTAATTACTTTCCTAAGAATAGCATCGACTCTATTCTCTTCGCGTTCAGTCATTCGTAAGTACGGTATTGAATATAGAATCCTGCTAGTTACAAAAGCATTGGCGAGCCAAATCGCGTCCCTTCCTTGTAGCCCCCCGCGCTTGTTTGACACTCGGCGGATCATGCGCCCTGCCTGTTCTTCAATTTTCCGTAGCTTGTCTAGCGTGGTGCTGTTTTTTGTTCTGATGCGAATCAGAAGGCCAAGAATTTGTAGTTCTAAACCTCTCGTATTGTTGATCCTGATACCATCAAGTTCAGGGTCGTCCTATCTTTAATGTTTTCTCTGATATGCAGGAATTCAGGTTTGGTTGGAGCACACTGCAACCCACACTGGGCCACATAGTCCTCCACAATGAAGGCGGCCTGCTGAAGGCGGTCTTCAATTTCTCCTAAACTGCCCTGATTC